ACCGATTGTTTGGGAATTTAAGTTATTATATCGCTCACTATATCTCGGCGGGCGGGGAAATTTTCACCCATGACCTACTTAGTTAGGAAGTACAAACAGATCACTTCCACAGAACTATACTATACTAATAGATTTCTAGATGAATCGAATACATTATATAATGCTGTATAACGAGTGCGCTTATAAAATGAACGAATCACAGTAATTCGATAGACACAAAGTTAAAAACATGATACAAACTATTCATTAATTACATCAGTCCCGATTTACTATAATAACTTTACAAAGGAATAAGCTGATATCCAGCTGGTGCTGGAATAAACAAAATAACAGCTTACTTGTTCAGCATCATGTTTAAGGCCTGTATCATGATGTTCAATTTCTTCATCACGGAACTTCTTCAAAGTCTGAAAAAATGTGAAAGTTACGAAAGTATCCATGCTATTATGTCGTGAAGACTGTATCTTAAAGTCATAAAACATCTCAAATGATAGTTGCTCGAAAAATATTACTGTTGACCATAATAATAATAGCAATAATAATAATAATAATCAAGACCAACATAAGAACATGCATTACTGCTTAAGAGTCCAAGTTGCCCCACCTCATATCACCACATCAAGTAACAAGGCAATAAAATGGAAGTGACGGCGGTCTGAGTCATTTAGTAGCCATAACAGTTAGACTGATTATTCGGATGATGCGGTCCTGTCAGTCAGATGCATAAATGCCTGACTTGTATATTACTGAATAGCTACAATTAGTTAGACAAAAGGATTGTCATTATTCATTTCATATTCCACAGAATCAGAGACAAGTAGAATTAACGTTAAAAAGACAGACAATAAAGTCATGCCATGTGGTAAGTTAAACTTTCTTCTATCTTCTACATACATTATTACATTTAAAATGGATATGAAACCTAACTGTCTGTTAGGGAGTACGACCTTTGAGATATGCAATAAAATGGTCAGCGTCTAGCCTTCTGACATTATCAAAGCATTTAGTAACTCCAATTCGCTTGTTAGTCAGTTAATATCAACAGAGTCTAGCAGAACTGCGTGACAGCTCAAGTTGTTATACTTAACTTGAGCGTACTAAGGCACAAAAGTATTGTGATCAATGATGAAGGTAAGCGAGTAATCAGAAGCAACGTAAAGTTTCAAACTAAGGAAGCAGTAAAACAATGCAATTTGAAATAACTATTATGGTCAAGATAATAGATGGACGCGTCTGCGCTGCTGACATCGATACTGAACCAAATCATCTAGTCTCTAACCTGACTGACTGACAAAATCAACGTAACACCTCGCACACAGGTGAATCGGCTCAAGTTGCCACACTTCACAGCAGAACACACAAAAACAGGTGGACAGAAAATGAGAGTAAGCAAAGAAGGTAAAGCGTCAGAGAATCCAAAATCTGAAGAAAGCGGCTAGTATGGATATTCAAGCTTAAAAAGATGTCAAAGAGTGAATACAATTAGCCATCGTGACCGATCTTCAGACATATCACCAAAACTCAGTCTTCAACCACCGATCCCTTTCGTTCCAAGAACTTCAACCAGGCAGTCTACATCACCCTCACACGTCTCAGATCAACAGTCAGGGACTACATCGACTGATGCCACACATCTCCGTCTAGCCACCCTGAAACCACTTCTAATCAAATCCAATTTCACTTAATAATGTACTTTGAGATAGGCTGTAGTTCAACATGCCCAGCACATGTCCAGGAAACCTCAGTCAACTGGGGTTCACAACTTCACCAATCGACTTGTCTACCTTCGCCTAACACCACAGTGCTCATACGGTGATTCCACCAAACGCCACCTACGATAAAACACCTGTAATCGCTTCATATCATATCTTATACTTTTAACGGCCATGTTTCACAAATGTACAACAAAACAGACTACAGAGTAGTATACACGTCCTTTGACAGATAGTCGAATATCTTGCCAGTCGACACCATATACGATGCAAGTTGGCGAATGCCAAACCAGACTTCGGTATTCCAGATGAGATTTTGTCAACAATCATCTCGTTCGCCACGCTCATGCAACTCCTCAAGGAAGTGAAGTAGTTGACATATCCCACCACTTCACTCCCTATCATTAAACTGGGAGTACTTGCACCAGACCAGTCCTGCAGCGTTGTCTTACATTCTACAGGCGCCAGCTGGACGCACGTCAAACATACTCAGACTTCTACTCAACGCATCCACAAGACCCCGCATTTCGTCAACGTATTCACCCAGCAGGACAATATCCTCTGCATTCTCCAAGTCAACCAAATGACCTCCACGGAGTAGGTCAGTTCATATGAAGTCACGTATACCTAAGCTTACATCCATTAGTCCGTCTGTAATGAAGTTAAATGGGAACCGTGACAGTGGACATCCCTGCGAACACTACTACTTGTCGTCGACTCACATGACAACTCTTCATAAGCCCTTACACGGCTACGTGAGTTCGAGTAGAAAGCTTTGATTAGCGTCAGATACTCTCTCGGTATGCCCTTCACAGTCAGACACTGTCATAACACCTCACAGTAGATGGAGGCAAATGCCGACTTCACATCGAGAAATATGTCAAGTGTCGTCCACTGGCCAGTAGGTTTACTTGCTTATGTTCCAGAACCTGTTATGGTGTGAAAGTATGATCGAGGCACCCTCGTTCAGCTCTGTATGAACTCCGCCTGGTTTCCTCGAATTTGCAGTTCTCCAGTTTCATTTAGGCGTCAGATAACTATGTACCCTAGCATCTTGGACACAATACTAGTCAAAGGAATTCCCATACAGTTGTCACAAGATTTCCTTCCCCCCTCCCCCGCGCCACCCGCCACCTTTCTCATATTCTCCAAACACCGATTTTCGATGTCATTCAGACCCCTGCAGGAAATCTACAATTACTGACAACCATTTTGCGAACTGAATCGTATTCAGCCAATACTTCACGATGAGGCAGACAGTAACTAGGCCTGCGTTACAAAAATCCCATTCATTCGAGTTGATGAAGATGTATACTGTTATCAGCCAACCTATCTTGTAATATTACTCTAAGTCTAACTGCTACGTTGCTGGCATAGTAATTCCATGACTATCCTACGAAGGCAGTGATGGCTGAACAACAAACCCTCCTCTACCTACAATGGTCACATTTCATAACCATGTAATAGACAGAACGGAGCCAACTGTATTGCAGCAATAGTCGAATATCATGGAGGCGACATAGAAGAGGTTGTCTGATGAAAGTTAAGTGGATGTTTTGCATCCATGCACAGATTTTGTCAACCTTCAGGCTGATCCGATTCTCCAGTCGCTTGCAATCGAAAGGAAGAACAGCTGCTCTAAGAACAATTCAACTAAGAAAGTATATGATGATTTGTTTTGTTTTATTACGGTGACCTTAAGAAATAAGTACTTCAGAAGGATTTTCACACCCAGTTTAGAAATATCAAAACGGAACATAGGACAGACTGATATATCCGTACATTTAGAGTACAGTAGTACGGTAAGATTGTTTCTAAACAATAAATCATATTCCTTTTAGGAAAAAATCATCTAAATTACTATTTTAACTCAAAAGCCAGGCGTAGGTTTGTGCACTATGCAGTAAACCACACGTAATATGTGAAGGTTATGGAAGGTTATAACCTGGCTGTGCAAACTTTGGAGAGGAAATTCAACTGGTTAAAAGTTGACTGGCTAAACTAGAGCCACAACTATAAGAAATCCTAACTGTAAAAAAGCATTCCTTGGAAAATTCCTCAAAATTAACAGTTACAGCAAAACAACTTTTCATGTACATCACGTTATCTGTGTTGAGCATTCGGCAAAACAGAGGGATATGAACTACAGCGGTGTTGAATTTTATGCTGATCACACTTACTGAGATAGCTTTGAATGGAAGAATAGCGATGGACTGTGATTCGAAGTCGTGAGAATGAGTTTCTACAGGACTGGAACTTTAATAATATTGGTTTAAATATTGCATTGATCCTAACCACCAATTCATCTAATGTAACATACCCAGCAGTGCTGCCACTCAGCTACTCAAAGCTGACTTTTATATTAAAAGTGAATCAGTTGGAAGACCAGAGTTTATGTTAGTGATGTAGGTTTCATAAAAAGATGGGTTAACAATATTCAATCGGTGATAGAAACCAATGCGAAAACAGCTTTGAAAAATACAGCAAATATGATGCGCTAATTTAGGGCTAAAAAAGAGAAGAAAATTGGAGAAACAGTGTTTTAAGTTTTAATGCAATGTCGATAGCTTTCGCAGTAGATTGGTAAGGCGAGACTGTAAAGTGGTGAACCACACAGAGTCTATTGAATTCCAAAACAACAGATAGTCTTCTAATTATTTTAGGATAATTTTAACAGACCATAAATATCTATGAAATCTTTAAAAAGTGCAGTATGTAAAGTCTTTGAGTAAAAAGAGGCTTATAAACTGATTGTAAAAGCTTTGGATTTTAAGTATCAAGTATCCAGATAAAAACAGACAAATAATCCGATGACTGAAAACGCAATTTATATAATGATTGTCGCTTACCAAAAAAAGACTTGGTTGCTTCGTCATTAAGTCAACAACTACGAAAAGTTATATTTACGTAACACAACTGACCTGTAGTAATTCTTGATAAGTCTCAGGACACGATTCCATAAGCTCACGAATCTGATTGTTATAGTGTTCAGAAATTACAGATTCAACAGCAACAGTACAGGCCATAGCACTTTTTGAACCTAGCAATGCACTTCCCACACCCAACGCAAAACCAGCAATATTCCATAACGGTAAAAGAAGGGTTGGTCTCACTCTGTGTAAAGGAATAAGCTCTTCGAATTTTTTAAGGTGTCCTTCTTCTTGTTCACGCATCTCCTGTAAGATATGATATGAAAGTGTCAGCAATGTACCTGTTTGTGTTATAACTCTAGAAAAATAAGCATCGAAATGCGAATCTAGGAAAGAGCTTAGTTATGCCTAAAACCACATAATAGGACAGGATTGAATGATAATTCAAATTTAAAAAATAACTTAGGCAGGTAGAGAGACTGATAACTGAGGCTTTGGTCGTCGAACCGACACTTAGCACATGCTATGTGAAATATTCGACACTAATTCAAGATACGTGGGATATTTCAACCCCTATAAGACTGAAGAATAAAAAGCAGTAAAAGTGTTTAAAAAACCAAGTCAAAAAGTTATGTGATTACCGTGATATTATGAGAAATTAGTTGTGATCGAAACGTCACCTAACACATAACACTACTTCACTGTGATACCATCAAAAAAAGTGGATCATATATATAAACTTGGTGTCAGTACGGCTATATGAAATTTACCGCAAATAACTGCTTCATACACTCTACGCTGCCTTTATATTTAGAACACAAACATGGTATAGCAAGGGCACGAAGAAATGAGCCGCACACAGTAATATAACATTATGAAGACATAAAGCGAAGATGAAAGAAAAACAATAAGAGAAGAATGATTAGGAGGGCAGTTCAGTAAGATACATTCAAAACAAAATATTTATTACTTTTCAGCAGTAGAAGATAGAAGGAAGCTACAGCATGATCGCTACCTGCTTCTGTTCTCAATCACATCTGATAACGTCTGAAGCCACTGAGATGAATAATCTCTCCCCCCCCCCCGGGGAGTCGTGATGCACCAACATATGCTAACCCGATACAACTACCCTTTATCTAACAGGGCCACGCTATATACTGACCGCCCCTCCGCTTTTCCATACAGTCCCAGGGCTAGCAAACAATGAACGGTATAGAAGCTGTTGGGATGAGATGCGTAACATATATTCAAACCACAGAAGCCAGTGTTTCCAGGTGATTTCACTTATTGAGTGACGATCTGTACCATCCCCTCAGAATTACTGACATGGTGTTGGCATCAGATACGAGTAATCCTACGGAGACAACGATGGTCTAACACGGAGTCGTCGCACATCTTCAGCTCGGAGAGACTAAGTTTTATAGGTATACAGCAGAACTGCTCGCACCGAAGTGTAGTAAACCCGACCCTTTACGGTCAGACTAACGTCACGACAGAGCCAAATGTGGTTTAGATTGGTGTATACCACTCTGGCTTTCGACATGGAGTTGGGAATTTCATCACACACTTTTGCTAGCACTCACGCAACTACCTAGACACACGGAATTTTCGACTACTTCCAACGGCTCACAACCAAGGGTGACTTCAGGCACAGGCTGCCACCAGTATTGAAACAGTACGTTGCGCTTCGGTGGTGCAAAGCACATACTATACTTACGGATACCAATCGCCACTGATTAAGTGCGATTTAAGTAGCATGAGTGTCATCGCACAGTAAGACGATATCATCCGTATATTTAAGGTCAAATAGCCGTTCCCCGGGTAATCGATCTGTGCCACCATCACGCACCTCTTTCAGAGCTGTCTTGAGAATGTCACTGATAGAAAAGTTAAAGAGGAATGGAGGAATTAGGCAACCCTGCCTAACCTCATTCATGGTTTGGAACAATGGAGACAGGTGGTTGTATGCTCTTACCCTACCTGAGGTTTTTATGTAGGGCTTTCAAGATGTAAATTTCTCAGGCATGCCCCTCTCCAAAAGACAATTCCAGAGCACAGCTCTGTCCAACGAATAGAAGGGAGCCCTTATGTCAAGAAACACACGACTGTTTGGCCCGGAATACCTGTGATGTTTAAACATCTAGCGGAGGGTAAACCCATGATCAATGCATCCACGACCCGAGCGAAACCCGGCCTACTTTTCATGAATTATTTTCTCACGGGTTTCGCAAAGTTTGCGAAGTATGGTAGCAGTGCATACTTTCGACGCGACTAGCAATAAATAAATACCCCGATGACTGTCACATACATTACGTAGACCCTTTTTAAAAATGGGCACAAAAATGGCTTCATTTCAAAGTGATGGAACACTCTGTCTGCCATACCTTCTCAAACAATTTAGTCACTTCTCTGACTAGAGTCGTTTTCCATCCTTAAAACGAGCCGGAGATAAGTTGTCTGGATCGGACACCTTGTAGCGTTTCAAAACATACGGTTTTTTTTATGGGTCTACACTTCGTTAGGTGGTTCAGTGTTAACTGTCCATGAAGGATGACACACTGAAACTGAAGATGATGGAGCCGTAGGCCAGCTAAATTTCTTTTCGAAGTGCTCCGTCCAGCGTTCCAGGAGTCTCTGAAGATTGATTATCGGCCTACAATCTACCTAACAAACCATCTCACTGACACTAGGTTTCTTGATGTCAGTGGCCTGAATGAACTGAAACAGCATCCGACTGCTGCCAGATTCAGCTGCTGCTTCCATCTCACTCACTTGTTTTGATCACCAAGTCTCACGGTCCTTGCGTAAGCGTTGTGTAACTTTCCGTGTAAGAGACTTACGCGAACCATTGGTCTTGCTCTCCTCCGGGAGTCAAGAAGTTGCAAGAAGCTCGCATAGACTGTGTTTATTAGCGGAACGTTCTTCCAAGCCGCAAGCGGCTTTACCTGCAACTTTCATGGTGTCCTGCAACTGTAGTTAGTTAACGCTCATCTACACTTTATGGAGGGCTGACAGCCAGCCTTAAATCTAGCCCCGATTAGTATTCAGCTCCAATGTTAGCTGCAACTAATTTGCTTGGATAGACCTGTTTAGTACGACGATTTTGATGACCACCAAAAGGCAAGACGTGCTTAGCCCACACTAAACCATGATCAGAGTCCAGACAAGTACTCCATATTGAGCGAAAGTCCTGTAAACACCCACACCATCGGCAGCTGATTGCAATATTATTTACTTGAGTCCAGGTTTGAGCGTCAGAGGGAGGACGCCAAATAGCACAAAGGCGATGGCTGTGCTGGAAGTTGGTGTTGGCTGGAAATAGGTTGTGATCTGCGCAGAGCTGCAGAAGACAATTCCCATTATCCGGACTGCGGCCAATTCTTCCCGACCGGCCACCTTAACGACTCTCATCTACGCTTAGACGCCTGACCTGCACAATTAAGTCCCCAGGTAGCACTACAATATCCGTCGATCGCACTTGTTTGAGGTCACTCAGGTGATGATAGAATTTGTCCTTGCATGTACCCGGGCTGTAATCTACCAGAGCATAGGCAGAGATGACAGAGGCACCGTTTCCCTTGCCGGTTACTTCTTACTCGAAATGAATCTTGTAGCCTAGCAGTACAAAGACGACTGTTGAGGGGATCCAGTCGAGTAGTGCAGCTTCGGCTCGACAGTTTAGTGCGACACCGACACCAAAAGATCTGTTGACGACGACATAGGGTCCCCGGATAAGTGAAAATGAAACACACTTTTCGAGCTGATAGATGGGAGACTAATTCGAAGCACTTCACTGTGATCTTGTGTGCGGGTCGCTGATGTGCAGCATACATCGATAGCGAGGCTTCCCAGAGTTCTAGCCAAACCTGCCTGTTGTTTGGTCTGCACCAAGGTGCGAACACTGAACGTAGAGAGCTTAAACGGTATGTGTGGTTTCCGGATAGCTGTCTCAGACGGCCTACTGGAAGGCAGTCTTATAGAAGCAACTGTTTAGCGACTCAAAACAGTACAGACAGACCAGACCTCCAGACAAAAGAGAGAAGCTAAGTGAAATGAAGACAAAGACAAAGCGAAAATGGCAATAATAAGAATAATAAAAATAAATTAAACAATTAGTTATAGTGATTGCGGTGCGGAAGACTTAAATATTTCTAGGAACGTTAGATGAGTGCTTTAAATCTTCATTGCATATTGTAACTACATATTTTATGTGAGGCCTGAGATAATGCCCGGGCGTCCAGAGCAAAGCAGGTGATTGTCTTACGGGACCACTCCCCGAGCCTCTGACTTAAAGTCAGTCCACAAGGTGGAGTAACATTAAGAGCTGCATTCCCATGTTTTCCCGTGACCAAAATAGATTCATACGCCATTCGTTCCATCTGGAAGCTGGAGCCTATGAACACCATTGGTTTGAAACCAGGGTTTTCCAACTCTCCTAGGAGGAACCTCAGTACCCACTAATACGGTGATAAGCACCGGACATTTGTTTTCCCTTTTTGACTTCTGTGAAAAGCACTCCCACCACATGAAGGCTGTATTTGACATACAGAACATTTTACGGTTGCAAAATGGATCTGAGGCGTGAATGACAAGCACAGGAAAGAACCAGTGTTATGACTCGATCATATGATTCGTTTTACAACTGCAATAAATACTACCTACTTCTTGATAGTTTTTAGTTAGCCTCTATGGAACCTCAGTGCAAGCAAATAAGAAATATACTGTGCTTTGAATACCTTGAGGATATGTTTACTTAGTTGACATACACTACCTCAATAAAAATATACGCATTTGGAATGATATGAACTCTTCTATAGGGATTTAGCTTAATAATGATTACTCGCAGCAGATTACCTAAGCTAGTGAAAGTTCTCGTTGGCTTGTACACGTACTGAAACGATTGAAAAAAGCAACAGGCTAAATTTTATAGACCAATAATTAAGGTGTCAACTGGTAGATTACAGAAAAGCATAAGAATGATTTTACATAAACGATTTGGGAAGTATAATGGGAGAAATACCATACAGTACACCTAAACTTACCTATGAATCAGTTTGAGTAACCAGGTCTAATGTTTTCCTTGATTCAAAAAGTAAGGCAAACGACTTAGTACGTGGTTAATGATTTTCACTTTTATCACGTGTATGACTAAAGTACATATACTGTCAAACCATCCTACTTACAGTCTTCTTACTCACACTTTACATACAGACAATGAAAAAATCAACTCAGTGAAGACGATTACAAAAGTCTGAGCAACAATCTTTACTCATTAAGGAAATAAAATAAATTACGGACAGTCAGTTAACTAAGCAAGTACTATTTAGGTGTGTACGCTTTATGAAAAATATTCATGTGTAAAATAAATAGATCATTATCTCTAGTGAATAAGTCATCTAAGCAAACTACATGTCTCAAGATGAGTAGATCAAAGTACCACATAATTCATGAATAATACTGATTATTTAAATACCTGACTACTGGATACGGTTACATCACATTTTCTCTAGAAATACACTAGAAAGGCATCTTCGATCAAACTACGAAGTTCAAAAATCGTAAACCATGACTTAAAATGACTGCGAATTGAAATGATACTGCAGCTAAAGCCTTTTCTGTATTTTAGTAACTTTATAGAACATTCAAATGCAATGGCAAATATATGTTTAAAATTCTATACGCCTAATTTAGTGTGTTATATTCAGGAAGCCAGTCCATGCTTCATTAGGGAAGCTGATATATAAGAACGAGTTTGAAGAGTTGGCAAAGTTGGTAAAAGCCAAACCTATTTCTATGGTCTTAGAGTAGGAAAATAAGCGACCAAATTCCAACCGTTCACATCTTAAGTAGTGATTTAGATATTTCCTATATAATTTCTTTATTGTCTATCAAATTGATCACCTTAGAAATCAAAACCAAACCCAAAATCCATGGTGAAACCACCTACGAGTGGCGTGCTAGTTCTAAGAGTGGAAACTTATAGAAACAAGTGGCAGTAGTTACTTTGGGGAGTACATTCAAGCAAAAACTGAATCTCGAGATAAGTACTACAAGGAATATGATATGCTAGCGGCTTTCGATCTTTTTTCACTGAAACTGACAAGGATAAGTGACACTAAGACATCGTGATCAATGCAGCCGCTATTATCCGCAACTGCATGCACAGACGGACCTACCGGCCTGGAATTCTGTTCTTACAATTTATCCTGTTTCGTATCTATATAAGACTATATGAATTCTATGATATAAGGTTATACTTTCAGAATTAGTGACTAAACGGTTAAAAAGTAAGCATGAGTAAGAATTAGTCAGTTACGGCGTGAACACCGACAAAGAACTCAAGGAACAGTACTTTCACAGTTCAAGAACAGGAATTTTCAGGAATCCAACTTGAGTAAACCAAATTCAGGTTATTCTACCAAATACTTGGACAAGACCAAAATTAACTTTAAGGTTGGACAGATTTTGTCAAATGTCACAAAAGCGTGTGTCAGACTTAATTCAGATCTACAGTACTTCCAAAAAATTAGTCTCATATTCAAATATTTTTCCAGAGAGATCTATGAATGGACAGTCTTTTACATAATATCATTCTTAATACTGAAGGCCAGATTTCAAGCTTACCTTTATTTTAGGCCCAACACTAGAGTTACCGAGGACAAGCAATTGTCCTTGGTAAATCCTGTTAGCACCAAGCTCACCTGCGTGGTCGACTCGGATAATTCGATCCACCAAGGCTTTGACTTTCGGCGAAACAGGTTTGCACATTTTCACCACTTAAGATGCCGCTTCTACAAACGTCCTTCCTATATCCAATGTCCAATATTTTTTCAACGGGCTTGTGTAAACCTGTTGATTTCTTCTTGCTCGCTTCTTGGTCTTGCGGAATGGTTCCAGGACTTTGGTGGATTTCAATGCAGTAGATCCAGCCGCTTGTCTGGTATATCTCTGATTTGCAGAACAGGAAGTTAAGTGTTGGTTTGTTTGCCTTGGACTGTTGTGCAGTTAGCTTCTTCAGATGTTGAATTGCCAGACAATTGTTCCAACTCGTCGCTACAGACGGTTAGGGATAGTGAAGAGAAAACCTAGAAAGGTGTTTGTGTAAGTAAAAGGGAAAAGAAAAGCGAACTAGTGGGGTAATCTTCTTACACCCAAGTAAGGTGAGGAGGGGTGCAAAGGTATGAAGAACTTGAGTAAGTGAGGCTGACTCATGGCAAGTGGAAGGGATGAAAATGGCTTAAATGGTTACGGTATAAATAAAGTTGGCTGTAAAGTTAAAATAGTTGGGGTGGCTTGACGTCAGTTCGTGTTCCAGCTATCAGTGGGTAGACCGTGAGTCTCCGCATGACTGTCTAACCTCTTCTTGAAGCTTTCAATAGTTGGGATGGAGATTACCTCTGCTGGTAGTGCATTCCAGTACCCTCAGACTCGGAGGGAGAAAAACTGTGGACTCACATGCCTTTTTGACCTTTGGTGGGCTATTCTCTTAGGGTTTCCTCGAGGATCTCCACAGTGGCCACTCGGTAGACTTGGATTATTCAGTATTTCGTAAGCTATTATCAAGCCACCTCGTAACCTTCCGTAGCTAAGAGGGTATAGGCCTAGGTCTTTCGGCCTACCCTCATATGGTTTTCATCGCATCCCGACAATCCCTTTTGTGGCTCGCCTCTGGACTTTCTGCAGTAGGTTAGTGCAACTGTTAAGTCGTGGTGGGGCGAAGGCGTCACTAACCTCCATCTGGAGTCGTGTGTAAGTCTTGTAGAGCTTCAGAAAGAGCTCTGGGGTATGGGCACTTAGTTTTCTGTGCCTAAAGTGCGGTACACCGTCGGCTTTTGAAGCATCGCCTGGGTAATTGGAACTGGTGTCCAGTTTCTCCGTCACCGTTAAACCCAGCTTTTTTCTGCTGTGGTATGGGATAGACGCGAACCACAGGGATAGTAGGATGCTTTCTGTGGATCAGGAGTGAGGAAACACATGAACTGGCACCTATCCAGGTTAAATGCTAGCTCGTTATTAGTTCCCAATTCCTCTGGTGTTTTGAGGTCGTTCCGCAAAGTTTTCGATTCCGCTTCGCAAGTTATTGCCATCCACAACTTGACGTCTTCAGCGTATGGGAGAATCGGAGGGCTGATATGTTGCAGTAGGTCATTCACGAACAGCAGGAATAACAGTGGATCCAGTATTGCTTCTTGTGAGACACAGGATGGGGATGTTCTCCAAGTTGAGTAGACCCTGTTGACTCTTGTGCAGAACTCCCTGTTGTCTAAGCAGTTCTGCAGCCACAATAGCACCTTGCTGCGTATACCTAACCCAGCTATTTTACGTATTAGTATCGTATGTGAGAGTGTCGAAGGTTTCGGCGAAATCCGGAAAATTGCTTGGACCGGGACCTTGAGATCCTAGCATGCTGTCCGTGGATAATGGGCCATCAGAAGGTTGGAGGCACAGGACCTACCCTTCCGGGAGCCATGTTGAGCGTCGCTGAGTGCTTGTTTCTTGTCCAGATGTTCCCTGATAAGGTCGTCCATCACACTTTCCATAACTTTTGATATCACTGGGAGAAGTGCTATGGGTCTGTAACATCTGGGATTCTGCCTGTCTCCTCCTTTGAAGATGAGAGAAGGGATGGCCCGTTTCCACTTTCTTGGGAGCTTTTGTTCATCCAAGGAGTGTTGGAAAAGATTGCAGAGTGGGCTACTTAGGGTACTTGGTCATTCTTTCAACATAAATTGGCAGATGTCGTCGGACCCTGGGGATTATCCAGCGCTCAGCTTTGATAGCTATTCGAGAACAACAGCGCGAGTTATCTGTATTTCGTGTAACTTCGCAGCGCCGGGTAACGTTGAGGGCTGTTCGGTCGGTAGTTATGCGTACTTTCCTGATGGAATATTCTGCTGCGTGTCGAACATGGTACTCAACACTCCGGCAATCTCCTGTCTGGAGAGGTTTTCTCCGCTCGGACCTTTTATGATGCATGCTCCTTGGCTTGTCAATTTTCTCTTTGCCATGAATAGGTGTAGGTTTTTGGGGTTTACCTCAAGCCTCTTGGCGAGGTTGGACCGGAACGACGTCCTGTCTATCCGCGCCCTGATGTTGCTTCGATTCCGCAGTCATGTTTGCGTCATGGTCGTCCCGTCCTATGGAGAGTTTCCATGTGTGCTATGCCCTTCTCCTGGCTTTTAGAAGGCTCTCAGTGCCCCGTTTTAGCTATGACGTTCGCTTTCTGGTTGTTGTTACCGCCAAAGGGACGTTTTGCGAGATGGCCGCCTTAATGATATCTTTTACTAGTTTGCAGTGCTGGTCGATCGATAAGGAACACCAATCCACTGGCCACGGAGCTCTTGATAGGCTCTTGTTCATACTTTCGTGGTTTGCCTTGTTGTAATAGAGGTGGGGGCGGGGTCCCTCCCATGATAATTTTTCACTCGTTGCCAGGTCAAACACTACCATAGCGTGATCGCTACTTCCAAGAGGGGTTTGTACCTGAACGTTTTCAACCAGAAGGTGATCACTAGCCAGTATGTAATCCAGTTCAGATAGTTCACCATCTGACCCCCAGCGGTGTTGTCGCTGATTTTTCCCTATAGTCCAGCCACTTGGATGGCATTTAGCAGGTTAGAATCGAACTTCTGGCTCGTGGTTGTCCAACCTTGCTCTAGGCTGAGGGTTGGAGTGTTGAAGTCGCCAGCCGTCAGAATCTGGTCGTACCCTATAGTTGACACTGTGGATATTGCTTGGAGTAGTTTTTGGTTGTGTTCTAAGTTGCTATTAGTGGACCTGCAGATTCCTCCAACTAGGAATTTGGTGCGTCTGACCGTGAAGTGGCACCAGATAGAGTCTGGAAGCTCTGTCAGTACTGTGTCAGTGGTTTGTTCACTTCTGAACAAACTGTTCACGTACATCGCAACCCCCCATCCTGAGCAGAATCATGTCTTCTATGCTAACTTCGGTGTCACTTACGTCTGGTGACAAACACGTTTCCGTCAGGATCATGATTTTCAGGACAAGGTCTAGACAGAGTGATTGGGGCTCTGACATTTAACTTCGGAGTCCTCACACGTTGCTGTAAAGACACTTTGAGGTGCTACTCATGACGAGTTTCTACTGACTAGCCAGTTCCAGAAGAACTGGCCCAGTTAAGTTTTTTCCCTCGCCGGCTGGTGCATTCGGTGTTGAGTGGAGGTTGCTGGTCTGACTCTCAACGTTTCAGTTTAGGGTTACGGTGGCCTGAGCACAGGGAGTAACCGCTGTCTGGTGTTGTTGTGTTGTTCTCGGTCTGCTTTCACGGCAGCGAACATTACCGCTTATGGTACTCTTGGCTTTTTACCACGTCTCTAGCACTCTGGT